GCTGTGAGAGGAATGAGTGAAAAAAAGACATCATTCTGTTTGTGCAGTCAAAAGCTGTTTTAATAAGGGTTATACCTACAAGAAAACATTCTTTTGTTTTCCCAAGGGCCCAAACCGATAAATACCACATTATAAGAAATTTTCATTGTTAAAAATATATACAGGGTGTCCCTTTATTGCGTAATTGTTCAATATTTGTGTTGTAGACACGCAAAAAAATTTTAAATAAAAGTTATATGGATTTGAAAAATACCTACATGTTTTAAAAATATCTTTGGATATACAGGGTGTCGCGTTTTTGCCTGGCAAATTAAGATGTATGATTTTTATTTTATGATGAAATTATTAACAGTCTTAATTATTGTAAAGATGAGTTGCTACAGAAAAATGTTATTAGGTACGTGTGTGGTTACCTTTTAATAAAAGCCTTGCGGATCCACTCCTGTGATACCTGTCTTAAATATAACAAAGATCACGATGAATTAAATGATTTTTCTTTTTATTGCTTTTTAAGGGCATATGATAACCCCAGACAACACACCAAATCCCAGAGATATCCACAGAATATCTTTTGTGGATATCCAATATATCTACAGGATATCAGAAATATTCTGTGGATCTAATATGGATATCCAAATGTCCGTCTATATCCAGAATATAGAAGATATCCTAATGGATATTCAGCAAAATATCTAATGGGTATCTTCCAGAAAATACAAGAAATCCCAGAATATATTTTGTGGATATTCAATATATCCAATATGGATATCCAACCAAATGCCCGTCTATATCCCAGGATATAGAAGATATTCGGATATTCAACAAAATATTTTATGGGCATCTTTAGTAGAAGTAACCAATGATTATTGAATAACGTCGAAAGAAAATAGCAGAGATAAAAAAATATTTTCAATACTCTGCCTTTGATTTTGCCCACTAAGGAGAAAGTCATCCTTATTAGGACTCTTCAGCAATAAATCGAAGTTCTCGACTACAATCTCTAATGGGGTCTGTAGGAGAAAAATTTCGATCGAACTCTATTACGGCGGCGAGTCGAGCATGAGTAGATGCGATAGTGGTATCGCCATCTATACTTAGTAAGCAGAATCAAATAACATCTAGTAGATATCCACGATGGTTTGCGTTCGCGCCTAGACTTTGATATATTTAGTGGATGTTCATGGGATATTGAATACACCTTAAAAAAATTAATTTTAAATATCTGAACGGTACTATTAGCCACAATGGCGAGCACAATGGCGTAATTTTTTAATAATTTTCTATATAATTACTATTAATTTATGGACATTTGCATGTCTATAAATTACATCTCATGGATATAAAATATATATCTACCATGGACTGGACATTCAGTGGATATTGGGATGTTCAGTAGATATCCAAAGGATTTGGTGTGCTGTCTGGGAACGTCAATTCAGATACATTTGGAAATCCGAAACTGCCAAATGATGAATTTGTAGAATTAATTTTCAGTATTGAAAAGATATTTCAAAATAATATTGAATAATTGGCTACACTTTTAGAATTAATTAACCCAATACCCTTTAGTCATCCAGGCCAACGTTTTCCAAAAGAATAACCTATTTTAATGTATGTTTAATCTCAATAACTAAAAAATATACTGACAATTATTTTGACTTAGTGTCACTTATTTAAAATTTTAAAAATAATTGCATTCGGTTGATCAAAATATGAAAGGTGATTGGCGGATTTAATTTTTTTGCAGTGTTCTCACTAGCTAGAATGGATACGAAATATATTCGTTCAGTTGAAGGCAATAGCATACTTTTTCGTTTTATAATCTGCGCGTAGATAAAATAATATACATGTGAGAATAGAATTCACAAATCACAGTTCATATTTTGGTCACACAAGTCCTATTATTTAAAAAAATTTAAATAAGTGACAATTCTGTCAAACTAATTGTTATTAAATATACATTAAAATGAGTTATTTCTGTGTAGACTCGATAAATAATAGCATTTTTGTTTTTATTGTTTCCACATTTTAAAAAATCACATTTTAATCAAACTACATGATACTAATTTAATTACGAGTATTAAAACTAAAATCCTAAAATTGTCGGTGAAGATGAGGACAGAGCATCTGCCTTCCACTCGAAAAGCCCGGGATTGAATCTAGGCCGAGGACGAATTAAATTAAATCTTTTTTTTATGTTTATTTTATTTTATAAATTAGTAAAATTTGTAAATTATTTTAAAATTAGTTATTTTGTCTAAATAACCTAAAATAATTTATTAAATTTGTAGATTTTTGTTAGTGGGTCGTAGAAAAAATATACTGTATAAGCTGAATGGATTGTCCATATCACAATCAGACGATTGAGTAATCCGCCTACGGCGTCGTGCTCAAACTTCGTCTTCGTGTGATATGGCTATCAAATCCACTCTTGTTAAACAAACTACTATTTATTTGTTTTCTTGGTTTAAGTTTTACATCAGAAATAGGAACTAAATTAATTTACTTTTTAAGTTTTCTTATAAAAATCGATATTACTTTCTCCAAGTACAAATTTAGTACCTACGTAAAATTAGTACTAATTATGTAATTTCGTGTAATATTGTAATTCAAATTTCACATTACTATAAAGTTTCAAAATTCCCTACTTCGGTATGGTCAGGTACAAATTAAATATATTATATTAATAAAAACTGTCAAAGTATTACTTCTACAAATCTGCATTCCAATGAATAAGAATACATCTAAATAAAACCAATACTGTTAAAATAAAAGCACAAGTGACCGATTCGTTATAATTCCAGAATACTATAGAATTAGTTCCCAGACCTCAATCGAAGCATTCGTTTATCTAGGTATAAACCCTTTGCGTGATGAGTAACACTTGCCAGACACACGGGGTACCATTTGATTTGCATCCACGGGCGTGACAAAATTCGTTAATTGAAGCCCTTAGTGTAAAAAGGACCCAAGCCACAATTTGTCGTGAAGTGACTGTTTTAGCTCAAAACATCTGTTAACGAGGATATTACTAGCCACATACAAATTATTTTACCTCTAATCCGAAAGATGTGCTATTTTTTGTAATATTTAAAACTTATTTTCTCAAAACTTACTTAATGTGGCATGTAACCAACCTTATTACGCCAACGTCTTCAATTATTGCAATAATAAAAATATTTTTTAATCCGGGCCCGACTTTTCCGTCGAATCTAACAGAGATAGCACCATTCCGTCTTGCTTGGTTCTCGACCACCAAATCAAAGGCGCCGACACGGAGTTGTGGAGCTGTATTGTATAAGCTGTGGTTCAACGTCTATGTTTTTGTTATAAAATGTATACAATATTATTTACTTAAGGATATATTTACATTTAAGAGATTATCGAGATTTTCTATTAGAGATAATTAATTATTTTTACTCTAGGATTTATTTAAAAGTACAATAATTTATTTTAATGTATTTTAATAATAGTTTTCTTAATATTTTACTGTCAATATTAATGGATACTTCACCATATTTGCAGATGATACAACGATACTTTGGGAGAGTGAGAATATTGAAGAGTTGTCTAATACTATTAACAAAGACATTATTACGATTAAAGAATGGTATAATTAAAATTACTTATCTCTTATTATATTTTATGACATGGAATTAGAATTTTTAAAATTTTTAAAAACAAAAATTTCATTTATGAAATATTTATATTTGTTTCTTTTCTTTAAATTTTAATTTTTTACATTTGTTTTTAGCTTCCTTATACTATTATGTTATCTATCTTTGTTAATAAGAATGTAATTAATTCTTCAACAATAAAGAAATTTTGACTTCACTTGAGTCGATATAAAATTGTTTCAAATAAGTAGAACCACTGGACACAAATATAAATAAAAAACTATTTAAAATACAATAATATATTTTAGAAATCAATACAAACTGATTTGTTCAATTGAATATCTCAAATTACTAACATCCAAACATATATCGACAGTTTTGTTCTTCTTAGCGTTGCTCAATAACGGCACAACAGCCTGCAGGCTTTCCAACGACTTCAGATAATCCTGCACCAGCTCATTTAAATTACTCAAAGTTTCTATGAGTATCTGATCGTTAGACAGAACGATTTTTTGGTAGTTAGCATCGATAATCGCACAACTCCATTCCAACAACTTCGAATGAGTTTCAACGAAGTTCAAACCAGGTAAAGTTTTATTCTTCACCCACAGAGTATGCAGAAATTTCAACAAATCTGAAATGATGTCTAACGATAAC